TTAATGTTTAACATGTTGCTTAAGTAGCATGTTGCCTAAACAGAGTAAACACTCCCAGAATTACAGTGTTGCTTCTCTTTGGCTATACCTTTCCCTTGTTTGGATTAGAGGTCTGATACTTCATTTTTATGTTTTCTAGGACACAGCTTCAAAAGGGATACTGTATTTTTTTAGTTTCTAGTTATCTGCAGTTATAAAGAACTGTATTTTACTAGAGACTTTTCAGGTAGGAGCTTTCAGATGAATAGCAAGTCTTGGAGATAATCATTGTTTGGGCACAGTATCTTTTTTTTTTTGACACAGTATCTTTTGAGAGTCTATTTGTTGCCAACTAAGGAGAGCCTGCCCCAGATTTGAAACCACAGGGGCAAGCATGCACTTTTAAGGTGAAAGGTCACCCCAAGCCACCCTGCTCTGCAGTCCCTTGGTCCCATCAGACTTAGAAGCAGTACCAGCAGGTCCACGAGCAGCTGCAGTGCTTCCTAACAGCTCTCAGAGGGCAGCTGGCTGGAAGACCCAAACATAGGGAGAAAAACTGAGTGGCTTATTGGAGTCAGTAGGTCACACCCAGCAGGTTCCTCTCTGGACTCTGCCTTCCTTGTTGTATCAGCTGTTGCAGCCTGTTAAATACTTGCAGTAGAGATCCCTCTGGATTCCCCACAACACCTGTGCTTTTCTGATTTGAGTTTGTGGAAATAAAATGGTCCAGCTGGTAAATAAGTAACAAGATGCAGTGCATTTTGCTTGGAATTTTTTTTGTGTGGCTGCTTCTCTCTTCCTCTCTTACTGGGTGCAGGGAGAGATGCATGTCCTTGTTTACTAGCTCATTCTCTAGGGTTTATTAACTCACTCATTCAGCAGGCATGACTTATTAGGTGCTGTCAAGTTGACTGACTCCTAGCACGACCCTGCATAAAGGAGACTGAAGCCTTGCCTGGTCTTCTGCAGTCTTCGCGGTCACCCTTGTGCTTATGCCAGTTGTTGCCTTTGAACATTGAAGGGCTTTGGTATCTATCATTCATGTGCTTCTCCATCAAGCGCCTATACAAGATGCTCTGTATGTCTGCATTGAAACAGATGAGGGAGAGAATAATTTAAAAGCGATGTATGATAGGGTATTATGGTTATCACAAGAGTCCACAATTAAGGTTGCATAGTGGAATGTACTTCGGGCAGTGGGAGGGGTGCAGGGGGATTGTGTACCAGTGAGGGAGTGTTTCTTTTTTTACTTTTCAGAGAGAGGAGTGAACTGCGGGGGGGGGGGGGGGGGAGAAGTGTGGCAGTGAATGAATGGAAATCCAAAAATCTCTGTAAATGTTCATTAAAGTTATTAGAATTTAAAATTACAAAAAAAAAGATGCTCTGTATGAAGTGGCTACAAGTAGAAGGACAGGTTAGTACGTGAGGTGTGATTCTTTTCGGAGAATCAGACTTGCAGCAGGAGAGGCAGGTGAACAACAGTTGTCTGTGCAGTCGTTTTAGTGAAGCCCATACATGTTAGCAGTGAATACTTGGTGATTTATGCACCTTAGTATGCCTCCACTCAGTATATTCTTTTGGGTTTTTTTCCTTCAGTATGTTCTTAAAGTTAGATTCTTACTCTTTTAGATGCCAATCTAAGATTGTAGGTGAAAAGACCAGATTGGCAGCAAAAGCGATGCAGCCAGGATATTGTTGAAATTTTAACAAACTTGATGTCCAGCACTTTTTTTTAAAGTAAAAAAGCAAAGATAGATTTATTAGAAAGTTACATCCCAAAGGGATGGACCTCCCTCCTTGAAAGGAAATATGGAGGAGAGGTTGATGTACAGCACTTTTACTGAGGGCAGCTTTTATTGGTTCTCACTGGCAGTTGATTGCAACCATAAATGTGTTTCCTTAGAATAACTGGATCATTTTGGGATATATGTTTGTTTGTAAGAATACGTGAGAAAATTTAGTCTTGTGCAATAGCTAAATTGGACTAGAGTGATAATCACTTGTTTTACAAACTAAATCTTACTGCTCTGGGATCAGAACGACTCATAGCTGATCCTCCTTCCAGTGTGGGGTCTGGGGACTGTAAATCACATGTGAAGAGGAGGTATTTTTTTGGTCCCGCTTCTGTGGAGCTGCTGGTGGTTTCTCACTCCCAGAGAGACATTAGCTTAGCATCACAACTCCCCGTGGGCCATGCCACTAGAACTCCCTTGCTTTTACAGGTAAGCTTATATAAGCTTAAAGAACCAAGTTCTGAATTAGTTTTCATGAATATGATTAAGAAGTTCTCACTGCCATTCTGAAAGGAAAGAACATACTTGGAGGACCAAGTCTTCTTGAGGTCCTCTTTGAGGGAAATTTACCACATTTGTATAAGTTTCTTGTGAAAACGAATCCCTGTAAAGGAATGACTAACATCAAGTTTAAGCATTTTTCAGATTTCTGTGAATATTAGTCTCTGAACTGACTGCTGGGGGTCCTTGGGTGTGTGGTGGACCCAGCTCCGTAGAGTGTAATTGATGGCAAGATGGTAGGGGTCAGGACATTTTAGTGAATTAGAAGCACTTGTTTCTGTTGATGCTTTTCCATGGCTCCCTCTTAGGTCATTTGGGATTTGTTAACACTAGAGTTGAGATTCTCCTTGTCCATTCTCTTCAGCTTTCAATGCCTTTTGTGAAGATGGTATAGCTGATAATGGAGGGGCCCTAGGGAGTATATTCTGAAATCATTTTTGTATAACTGGTATGCCACTGTTATTTATACTGTCCAAACTAAGTAATCACTTTGGCTGAGATTTAGTTCTGGTTTATTCCCTCTCTGACAAAAATGCAGCAGTATTTCCTCTCACCCTTCCCTCCCAGCATAATTTATCAATTCCATTCTTAAAACATTTTTGATAAATTTGTTTTCCCTCAGTGAATTCTTCTTTCTCTCTCACTGAATTTCAGACCTACTATGTAGGTAGGTATCAGAGAACTTGAGGATGGCACAAGGTAGGGAAGATTCAGATCTGTTGTTCATAGGGTCGCTGTGAGTTCTAGACAACATGGTAGCACTTAACAGTATAGGTAATGAATATTTTACTCTGATTATCTACTCATCACTAGCTTTATCTGACCCAAACTTGGGAAATAGTTTTGGTTTTTCAGGAATAAGCATTTTGGAAAGTAAGATTTCAAAGGGAGGCACCTGTTCTTGGTGTGAGTGGCTCTTTGGGAGCCATGTTACATACTCCTTTTCTCCTTTGCTTGAAGACTTTAGATGCTAAAGAGTTGTTTGGAAAATGAGACTCCGGGAAACTCCTTGTTAAGCAGGGTTTTCTTAGTGACTGAGGAAGCTTTACTTGTTGCTGCTCAAAATATACCATGAGTGGTTCTCTTTCCTTAGAAACTGGGTGTTTTCAAGCTATGAGACTTTCTTGCTGCAATTGGGATTGCCAAGGCTTAGGGGAATACTGCCAGCTCTGTGCATTTGTTTCTCTATAAAGTTGTAGTCTGATGGGGCCAGAATGGTAGGATCAGGCTTGAAATAGTATTGCTGGCTACAGCTCCTTCTCAAAGTCCTGGGGGCAGACCCCGTGAAAAGGAGCTCTACTCTTGTAATAGTTTGGCTTGTCTTCCCTCTTTTTACCTGAGAGGTGGAAATAACTATTTGGGGACAGCTTTTCTGTGCTCACGCACCTCCTCTCTGCTCACTCCCACCCTATTTAGAATAGACCATCTTAGAAAGTCTGACACAAGGATAAGACTGCCCGGTTACTCAAAGCTATTAGAGTATACCCCAGTTGAAGGTCTTTTTTCCCCTTCACCATAGTCATTTTATCAACAAGAACAAGACACTTTGCTTGTCTTTTTTTCTCCCTTCACCATTTATTTTGGTTTATGGCTTTAGTAGGAGGCCGTTAAAAATGATTGGAAATACAAATAGCTATGTTCCATATAAATCAGAACTTTTTGGAGAATGCTGGAAGTAGAAGGCTTGTTTGTATTAGGAACTGGTGCTTAGAAGAATAGTGTGTGTTCATTGTGCTGATGGATAAACAGATTCTGCTGTTGTTCATCTTAATGGAGCAAAATGGGGCCTGAAAAATCGGAATCATTTGTTTGCCTTTTAAATGTGTTGCTTGGTTTTTGTTTAAAATTTTTTTCCTCATTGTTTTGTCATATACTTTAACAAATTTGTACTTTTGGTTCCTTTAGAACCAGCAGGGTGGAGGGAATGATGTTAGAAAGGTTGTAGAGATAGACCGTTGGGAGGAGTTTACCAGTCTTTTGCTCAGTTTATGATTGGTCCACTAGAGGGCAGGCAAGAAACAGGTAAAAGGTAGAATTTAAACCAGAGTAAGATTTCCTTTAACTCAGGTGAGGGTGAACAGTATTCTTGCTGAGGTTCATGTGTCTTGACTACTTATATAATACAAAGAATGTACAGAGTCTTCAAATTGTGGTCAAAGAAGCTGTGATGATTTCTTCCAAGATCCGATGTGATCAACCAAGTTGAAGGTGGTGTGGCTGTAGGCTGAAGCTATGCTAGTTTTTCTAAACTTGAGGTTCTAGTTCAGTAACTGATATAATTTCCAAGTTTTCTTCTCTAAACAGAAGCATGTACTTGAACTCTGTCTCCAACCACCCTGTCTACAATAGCCCCAGTCACATTCATACTCTGCTTTGTTTTCCTAATACTTGTCGCTGTCTGATGTTACCTTGTTTGTTTATGTTCTTACTTGCTTGTTTCTAGTCTGCCTTCTCCCCCACCCCTCTGCTGTATCTCTAGCCTAGCACAGTGAATGTCTGGCACATGTATGCACTCAATAAGTATTGGAAAGAAGCAAGTGTTTGCCAGGAATAGAAGTAGCTGTTCAGGTATGTCATCTTTTTTTGTTTATACCATTTTTGTTCTTGCAAAAACTGAAACCACCCATACTGGTCTTTTCTGACCTCCTTTTCTCAGCTTAGGTCCTGACTGTTGGGAAGAATAAAGGTGAATGGTTTTCTGAGTCTCTTTCCTCTCCCCCACTCTAGCTTGCCAGCAAAGCACGGACAGAGAAGGAGGAGAAGCTGAGCCAGGCCTATGCAATCAGTGCTGGTGTTTCCCTAGAGGGCCAGCAGCTCTTCCAGACCATTCACAAGACGTGAGTTGGGGAAGTGCAGGGGTACCTTGTCCCAGGGTGGTTCTGCCTGGTTGTGCTGTCTGGTGTCTAATTTTCAGGTGATTGTATTCCTGAGAGTCCATCCGGTGTACTGGGTGGTAGTATTTTTATACTATCCTGGGAATCCAAAGATGTGGGTACTAACCATGTTCCACACAAAATTGTGTAATCACAGATAGATTGTGTTCTCTGGGCTTCAGTTTCTTCATAAAACTTAAGTTTTGGATTTGATGTTCCCTGAATTCCCTTTAGGGAGCTGGTAGCCTAGTGGTAAGACAAAATACTGCAGTCTCAAAGGCACAGTTTGAATCCACCAGCTGCTTTGTGGGAGAAAGGTGGACAATCTCCCATGTGATTAACTGCCTCTGAAAACTCTCTGGAGGGTCAGCTGTGGATTGATTCTGACTTGATGGCAAACGACAACAAGATCCCTATAAACTTTTTGTTAGGTACTGTTGGGTCATTTCTAACTCATAGTGACTCTGTTCTACGGATTGAAATGTTACCTGGTCCTACACTGTGCAAGTCCATTGTTATAGCCACTGTATCAGTCCATGTCATTGAGGGACTTCTCTTTTTCACTGCCCCTTGTATTTTACCAAGCCTAATGTCCTTTTCTAGGGATTGGTACCTCTTGATACCATGTCCAAAGTATGGGAGCTACAGTCTCACCTTCTCTTCTTAGGTACATTATGTCTGTACCTGCTCTTAGATTTTGTTGTTCTGGTAGTCCAAGCTGTGTGCAGTATTCCTTGCCAACACCTTATTTCAAATGCATCAGTTCTCTTCAGTCCTTATTCATTGCCTGTCTTTCACATGTGTCTGAAGTGATTGGCAATAACATGGCTCTAGTGGAATACACCTTAGCAGTCAGGATCTTATGCAGCAGGTGTTTCATTTTCTGGCTGCTGCTTCCATACCTAGTATTCATAATTTAGAACTAGTGATCTCTTTATCTTTTGTTATTTCGTTGTAACATCTTTTTCCCCAAAGTTGATGCAGTTTTATGAAGGGAAAGTTAGATTTGTCTCATATTTTCCAGTCATACATTGGGATGAAGAGAGCTCCCTAAAGCGAGAGCAGAAGGCCATTTCTTATCACTTTCTAAAAGATATTTTGTCACTACAAAAGTCATTTGACTCTCTCCTGGATTCCTTAGCTGTTGGAAAACTGAAACATTGACACCCCTTCTTTCTGCCTTCTGTTACCCTATTCAACTGCCTGGGTCTGATACACAGTTGGCACCCAGCATCAGAGTTGTTTGAAACCGTAACGTATTTGAACATTTACAGGTATGTGAAGGCACTTTTAATAGCATCAGCTGCCCTCTGTTTTTCCAAGTGTGACCTGGCATAGTTTTTCCTGGTCTGGCAAGCACCCAGCTGTCTGATAATTGAGAGGGACAAATTTATGGAACAACTTTTACTGTGGGTATTGGGTGATGGAATGCGTGTTATAGTTTGTTCTCTTTCTCTAAATATGCCTTTTCCTTCTAGTCCCACGGTTGGCAAACTGTGACCAGCAGATCAAATCTGGTCTGTTCCCCGTTCTTTGTAAATAAAGTTTTATTAGAACTTACTAGAACACAAGTATTCATTTGTTATGTACTGACTGACAGTCCTCAGATTACAAACAAATTCTGTCCCTAAATCTGGTTTTAAGTTGAATTTGTATTTAAGTCACAATAGTTTGATAAGCCTTAGCATATATCTTACTGTGTAGCATGTGAATTAAAAATAAAATACACTAAGCCTTAACTTCACTGGTAACGATGTTTTTTGATATGTGGCACAAAGTAGCATCCATTAAGAACTTCAAATCATTGCTATAATAATAGATTTTTTTTAATAATAGTAGATTTTGGGGGGTTATAGTTTTTAACTACAGATTACATGAAAGGCAGATTTAAGTGGGTGTTTATAATCTGAGGACTGCTTGTGTTGCCTATAGCTGTTTTTGCATACAGTGACAGGATTTGATGTTTGTGATAGAGATTGTATGACCCACAATTTTTTTCTTTGTAGAAAAAAAAATTGCCAACTCTAGGCTAGGGAGCTCTGGTGTGCTAGTGGTAAGAAGCTGCGCTGCAATCCCAAAGGCACGCGGTTCAAATCCACCAGCTGCTCCTCGGGAGAAGGATGGGCAGTCTCCTTCCTTGCGATTTACTGCCTCTGAAAAACCTGCTGGAAGGTCAGCTGTGAGTCAGTTTCGACTCAGTGGCACACAACAACAGTCTGCTATATCTAAGTTGAATCTAATGGCCTGATCATACTTTGTACTTGTTTGTGATTCAATTTAATTTGAACTTCTGAAACTGCCACCAAGTTTTCTATGATCCTCAAGGGTCCTTACTATTTTAAGAGAACTCTTTTGGGCCCTTTGAATAAGTGTGTATCATTGTCATTGATTTTCCTAGTTATTGGTACCCAGAAAAGGATTTATGGCTATTCCTCTCTGGCTGCTGGTGTAGTTGTTGACTGAGTGATGCACTGGAAACTTATGGCCAACTTTCTTGAGTTTTTTATTCACCAGGTAGGAGGTGTGGAATGCTCATAAAAGGTAAATTTCATGTGTTCTCTTTCCAGTATTAAAGACTGTAAATGGCAAGAAAAAAACATTGTAGTCATGGAAGAAGTTGTTATTACACCCCCATATCAAGTGGAAAATTGTAAAGGCAAAGAGGGGAGTGCACTGAGCCATGTACGCAAAATAGTAAGTAAAGGAGCCCTTAGATTTTAGTAGAGAGGATGATTCTTTGGTCTTTACCACATTGACATCAGGGCAGGGTGTTGCAGTGTGACCCTTAATGTCTCCGTCATGGCTGGCTTGCAGTGGCAATTGCCTTACTAACCTGACTTCATAAATGGACATCAGAACTGTGACTAGGACGATCCTGTGGGGATAGAACTACTGGACAGTATGATTAGAGTGAGCATGAGGCATGTGCTCTGCTTTGTGTGTTTTTGGAATTAGCCTGACCATCCCATGGTATTGGGCCTCAACAGTTCCTATCTCCCACGCTGGATTCTTCTCAGCCACAGGTGCCCTTCTAGAAAGAGTTGGTTGGTATAAATCCATTGACCTCTCTGGGACCCTGAGTATGTTACCTTACTCTCTAAAAGTGAGGTACATTGTGTTTACATTTGTAAACACAAAAACTCCAATTCATCCATACCCTCTGGGAACATTTAAAAGACCGATTACATGGTAGATGTAAAATCATGTTACTATCAAATACCACCTTTTCTTTCTATGTTTGTTTAAAGAGGGAAAGAGTAATTTGGGTCATTCTTTTATGTTTTAATTTATAGAATTAGCTGATGCCCATGATTGGCAAGTGTAATAGACAGCAAGAACCAAGATGCCTGAACAGCCAGTTTGGGGCTTTTGAGGCCCAAAATGGACTGATCGTGAGAACTTACTTGCCTGTCTTATTCTTACTTTGACTGCCTGGTCTCTTACAGGTTGAAAAACATTTTAGAGACGTGGAAAGCCAAAAGATACTGCAGCGTTCACAAGCCCAGCAACCACAGAAGGAGGCTGCCCTATCATCCTGAGTCCATACACCTGGAGGACTCTTCCAACATCCAGCCAAGGAGGCGGTGGTGGTGGCTTCAGCGGAGGCAGGCCGGGGGAGGGAAGGGATCCTATATTTCCTGTTGGCTCTTGTTAACTAACAGAGGGTCAGCATTTCCAAATCTTAGACTTGAACAAACAAAACACCCGACAAAAAAGAACAAGAGAATAATTTAAAAGTTGAATCATTACTTGACTAACTGACTTTGGTCCACCATGTCCTTTTCACAGTCCCCTTCTGAAGCAGTCACCTTGTTAATTTTATTTTTGAAAAATCCTTTCCCTTCCTTCTCTTTCAACTCTTAACTTTCCTAGTCTGTTTCCTGTTACTCTGTTTTTATAAGTGGCTACACTTGCCTTCTGAGTGATTGAAAGAAACTTCACATCTTTTCCAAAATAAAAATAACAAGCTGACTGTGA